CCCATTGAGCATCTCTGGAGAGACCTGAAAATGGCTGTCCACCAACGTTTACCATCCAACCTGACAGCACTGGAGAGGATCTGCAAGGAGGAATGGCAGAGGATCCCCAAATGCAGGTGTGAAAACTTGTTGCATCATTCCCAAAAAGACTCATGGCTGTATTAGCTCAAAAGGGTGCTTCTACTAAATACTGAGCAAAGGGTCTGAATACTTATGACCATGTGATATTTCAGTTTTTCTTTTTTAATAAATCTGCAAAAATGTCAAAAATTCTGTGTTTTTCTGTCAATATGGGGTGCTGTGTGTACATTAATGAGGAAAAAAATGAACTTAAATGATTTTAGCATATGGCTGCAATATAACAAAGAGTGAAACATTTAAGGGGGTCTGAATACTTTCCGTGCCCACTTTATCTCCTCTTTGGCCTTCCTCTTGACCTCTTGCCTGGCAGCTCCATCTCCAACATCCTTCTACCAATATAACCACTATCCCTCCTCTGCACATGTCCAAACCATCTCAATCTGGCCTCTCTGACCTTGTCCCAAAAACAGACAACCTGAGCTGTCCCTCTGATGTGCTTGTTCCTAATCCTGTCCGTCCTGGTCACTCCTAAAGAGAACCTCAACATCCTCATCTCTGCTACCTCCATCTCTGCCTCTTGTCTTTTCCTCACTGCTACAGTCTCTAACCCATACAGGGCTTGGGACTGGCACAGAAGTCACTGGCTTGCAACCCCTGTGGCTAGATTGGCTGCCTCGGTTCTGTACCGGAAACAAATTCCTTGTGTGTGTGTAACATACTTGGCCAATAAAGGTGATTATCCTTATCCTAATGCAGCCAGAAGGTCAAGCTTCACTTTTTGCATTTAAATATATCAACATCAACCTGATGGATTGGCACTAAATTTGGTGACAATGAATTCTAACAACTGTGATGTCCTAATTGTTCCCATAACATCAACATGAGGTTTAGGTTTGTAGTTTTAAGTGTCACTTCTCAGCAACTATTAGATGAATTGCACCATCAAGTCAAAATTTAAATGTGACCTTAGCTATGTTAGCATCTTAAACTAAGAGAGTGAACATTAACACGTTAGCATGTTGACATTGGGATTCACTGCTGTGCCAAAGTACAGCATGGCTGTAACATGTATTAGATGATAATACAATACGGTGGAATACGACTTCAGTCTTGATACTGATGCGTTACATGGCATGAGATGCTTTACTCTGTGTGTTTCATTGGCAGACAGGTTGTACCAGCAGAATGTGATCACGCTGGGAAATATTCGAGATGAATGGCTAAAGGAACACGTCAAGGCATGTGAGGTAAGAGTTGACTCTTGATTTCTGCAGTTTGAACATACACGTAAAAAGGTATCGTGTAGAAAAGGTAAATGTTTCTTTCACCTTCAGATGTTTGAAAAACAGTCAATGGAGCGCATCAACTTTCTGAGAAATGCAGTTTGGACTCACCTCAACCAGCTGTCCCAGCACTGCGTGACCAGTGATGAGGTAACACCCACAGTTAGTAACTTTTTGTAGTAGCTCTAATCAATTAACAGATCAAAGGTGAAAGTGGTCACTAATCGTGACAAACTCACAGAGAGCATCATGAAGCCCTGCAGTTCTGTGGCTCACAGCTTTACTCTTTTTCTGTATAGTCAAGCTACAGTATGTAATTTTTTTCAAATATTTGAAAAAAGAAATGTGCTCCAAACCTAGTCTTAATGTGGAGCAGTGTTGTCAAAGCCTCCTGTGACCCAGACTCACTGAACAGCACTAACAGCAGTGCAGAGATATCAGCTTCTAAATGTTTTTGAGTGGCATTAACCTCTCTGAACAATCAAGAGATTTTCAATAATTTCTGCTCCATCAGTAAGTTTCTTGTAGTTTCATAATGACAATTATCTGAAGAGCTGGGCAGAGTGTGCAGAGTGTAGTGGAGGAGGCATTATTGTTAGAATCTCACTTGTATTAACTTCCTGTAGAAACCTCCATGAATAACCATTTGACTCTGACCTTTGTATACTATTGCACTCTGCATGTGTGTGGGTGTATAGCTCTATGAGGAAGTGAGGAGGTCACTGGAACAGTGTGATGTTCAGGAAGATATTGAACACTTTGTAAACCTCAGACGGACTGGTGATAAACCACCAGGTATGAATACAAGAACACTCACAGACAATACTTTATCATTAACAATTAACCAGAGCTTGAATGACAAGTCCACATACAGAAGCAGGGTGTCGGACAACACACAGCCATTCACTGTTTGATCAGTTGCAAGTATGTGAAGAGTCTTTCTCTCTAACAGCTGCAGTAAAGTATGAGAACTTCTACAGTGGTCAGAAGCCTCCAACCCGAGCTCCACCCTCTCAACCACCGCCAAGCATCAGGTGAGGCCTGTGGAGAGGCTGCCACCTATACTTCAGTTTCAACCAGTTCTTCAGTACATTTTTAGAATGCTCTCTTTGTTGTTAACCTTGTTTTGTGACTTTGCAGGAGGAGGCCACTACCTGACCCAACACACCGCGGTGAGGGTATGTTTGTTTTTTCTTAGTTAAATACAATGTACGGTGTGCTGCTTGCTAGGATGAGGTAGCTGCACAGGCTCGGCATGCCTAGGTGGCCCCATATGTGCCTGTCACAAAATGTTACCGGACCTAGATAAACACCGAGGGTGAACAGGACTTTTACATGAAACTGCCTATTACATCAGTTATAGATAAGGCCGGATCAAACCATTATCTGCTCATTGCTCAGGTAACAGAGAGTTCAAAGGAAGTTTACAGGTATATTAATATTATATGTGTACAGGCAGTGCAGAGTGGTAACACCTGAGAGAGATCTCAGTATATTTATGAAGATGTAGCCTGGTACACAGTGCAGGGCCTAAACAAGTTAAAAACGTTATTTGAAATTAATATCTTTGGCACAGTTTACTGTGTGCTGATAACTGTCACTCATATTATGGCAGTGCATGTGAATCAAAAGGTATTTCAGTGTAGGGACTGGAGCTTGTGGCTTTACAGCTGAATGGCTGGTGCACATTTCAGATTTAGGGGCAACTTCAGGCTCAGGAGGTAGAGTGGGTTGTCTCCTAACATTGGGGTCGGTGGTTTGATCCCCATCTTCTTCAGTCTGCATGTCGGTGTGTGAATGTTTGTGTGTGAATGAGCTAAAAAAGTGCTTTGTGTGCTTCCTTGCACAGGAAAGCATGATATAAGATCGTACCATTCACACTTACCCACCACATTTTTAATCTTTGCTTTGATTACAGGTGATACAGTCTATTCACCAGTGGAGGATGGAGGATACAGTGTTATCCAGTACTAACACACAGATCAGCAGGAGGAGTTACAGTATGTCTTGTGCAGTGTCAGAGCTTAATGGAAATGAGGTTGACCTGCGTCTCATTATTTCCTCTTTGTTTCTTTTTTTGATAAAGTTGTACCAGATGTCAAATTTGAGCCATAACTGTGTACATACATATTTTAGGTGAGGTTTTGAATATATATATCACTGTGTTATAAACAGTAGAGTAAACATCTTATTTTAACATTCCTGTGTTTTTACAATCAGAACAGGCTAAAATGAGTATTGTGGTGAAATTGACTTTCTGTAAAATGATACAGAAGCTGATTAGGTAATAAATAAACCCATAACTTTGACTTCTATCTAATCACTGTATAACTAATTTCCACTATCCAAATAGAGCTTATTTATTGCCCATGTTTGTGAAGCAAGGCTCTAATGCAAAAGTGTGACTTTACCATTAGTATTCTATTTTAGAATCTATGTACTTCTCAAATTTTAAAGAGAGTCTCAAAATAAGAATGTGTCATATGATATTACTTCCTCTTTGATGTGAGAGTGGACTGAGATCTTGTGAGCAGACAGATACACTCTTTATCTAAAGTGCACAGCCTATTGGCCACTTAATTCTTCTAGTCAATATCCAGCTTTGTCATTTAACCTGCAGCTTAACATCCTGACAGTCTTGTATGTGCTGAACAATAGTCCTTTCCAATGACTGTCAATCAGGACACAAGTTCAAATAAAATTCAATACAGCTTTATTTTTGTCACATTTGGCAGTATCATTAATTTTGGTTCCTTGTAAATTTCAGCATGTCTCTTTGCATTTCATATAATACTGTATAGCCCTCCTCAATGTGAGTAGGAGCTCCTTGTAACAATCTGTTCATCTTTAGGAAGCCTTTATTTGTTCACAGGATGTGTCTGCAGGTGTTAATGCTGAGCACATAGTCAGCAAGACCTATTGATAGTGTGTGAAAAGTTATTGGTGTGCATGTTCTTCTGTGCCAAACAGGCCTTTTGGTGGTCCAAAAAAAAAAAATCATACAGCGTGCTCTGATTTGATCAGGTCCAGAATCAGCTGGATGGTCCTCTCATCTGCAGCAGAAAGATGAAAAAGAAATATGAAAAAGAAAGCCCTATAATATTGATTTTAGTTTTTTAACTTGCATTACAATACTTAAAATATTCTATAACAGGTGGTTTTTAAATTAATGTGTAGATTGGCTCAGAATAAATCGACAGTGCCCATATTCACCATAGTGAAGTGTCTCAATAACTGATGTTTTTGGACAACAAAAGAGGTCCATGGCATGGAGGAATAAACTATTATCAGGCTTTGGCTACACAAGTTATGTCAATATGGGTGACTTATTGGCTTTGGGCTTTTATGGGATTTGTTCAATCAGAAAAATGGAATAAAACCAGGTGGTCCCTGCACAGCAACAGCGCAGGGAGCAACTGAAATGCTGTTAATCTAACAATTCATTGGTCTCAGAATCAAAAGAAAATGCATGAATTAGGTTTTTCAGTGCAAGCATTTTTGAATTTGCTACATAATCTCTTGTACATATTATGAAGCCTGGGCTTACCTTCCAGATTCATCCTAGGATTCTCCAGCTTCTTTGCAAGCAAAGAGTCCATCAGTTTCCTCAGGTGTTTGAAGATCACACCAATCCGTACAGGAGCCTTTATCAAGGAACACAGAATTAATTAAATAGGCCTTAAGCACAGGTGTAATCAATAACATTAGTGACTCTGCTGTGTTGCAGTGAGCCTGTGCGCACAGTATTAAGGATCTCAAACTGGAAAAAAAAATTGCATATAAATGCTGAAAAAAATCATTTTTCTGCTAATTTGTGAATCTACACACAACTACACAACTGCTGCTCTTATAAGAAGAGTTCAAAGAGGAAAGGATAAAAGACATCATGGCTACTTCTGACAATACTGAACGAACTATGTGAACCCGAAGCAACCTCGGTGACCTCTGACCTGAAAGTGGATCCATCCATCCAGTGTGATGAGCCTCTCTCTGTGCTGAATTTCAATGTCGCCTCCAAACAGCAACACAGGAAACGGAGATATCAGAGTGGTGTCTCGCAGGTAGATCTTGGTGTACTTCACCTGTGGATCAACATCTTTCAGGAAAAGACTTAAAAAGATATTACACAGACATACACACACACACTCCTCAGCCATACCTTCTCCTGGTACAGCAGCCAGCCATGTGTCTGCAGATTGCGGTTAACAGACGAGGGATGGACCTGTGCTTTGCCTTGAGGGGTCTCCACAGTGCAGGCCACTCGCTCGAGCACATCCACGGAGGGGGTGCACAAAACCCGGGCCACGCTGTCGTAGAGGCCTGCTGTCAGCACTGCGTTCAGGACAGAGATCTGCTGCTTAGAGAGCGAAGCCGCATGCAGCTTTAAGTGAGAAGAGGAAGAGCGAGATGACCAGAAACCTGCCTGCTCCATCATCTTCATCAGCTCTTGCTTCACATCCTAAATGGAAGATACATGTGGAATTAGAACGGGGAGGAAGAAAAGATAAGTGAAGAGAAGTTCTGAGTATTTCCATGTACGTGATACCTCTATTGTAATGAGAGACGTTCGATTAAGGAAGCGTTTCCTACAGTAGGACATTTCTGCTCTCTGACCCTCCGTCTGTGAGTTCTTCCACCTGACAGTGTGACAGGTTAACACAAGAAAAAGGTCAGCCTAAAGCACAGAGAGAAGCACAGAGAAAGGTTTATAAATAGTCCCTACCCCAGATATGCATTGTATATGGTGAGGTGATCAGAGTTAGCTACTGCCAGTGTCGCTTTAGCCAGGTTAGCTTCCTCCTTTCTATTCATTGGTGTGGAGAAGGGAGACTTCTCACTGATGGCTGCTGCGATGGTTGCCTGAAACAAAGCTTTTAGTAATATTCATGGCAAGATATGAAACTAGTCATGATTAAAAATATATAACTGACATACTATATTAATAGTAGTAGTAATAATAATAAAATGCCAATAATTACAGTGTTTGTTTTCTTAATGAAAAGGAAGTGGGACGTACTATGGGCTCCAGGCAGCCAAAGATGGCTCCATAGATGAGCATCTTGCCAATCTTCACATTGACAGGCAAACTTGCCAGGTGGTGTCCCAGAGGGGTGAGGAGATGACTGTTGGGGTGACACGCACCGATCTTCCTCAGCAGGCTGATGGCGTTACTGACCGACTGAGGCTGAGGAGCATCCAGTGCCCGGCTCAGGAACTCCTCCGGTGAGCCATACTGACATTTCTACCAGTGGGTGCAGTGGAGGAGTTAGAAAAACACCTCGGATGGAAACGTCAGTAATGTTTGTGTGAATATTTATTTCTGTCTCTCTGCACCTGAGTGTGGTCTATATACCATAATGTGAAGACAGAGCTCCTCCAGTGGGACCCGTAGTATCTCAGGAATGGAGTAATCCATGAATGCATCAAACCTGAGGTCAGAGAGGTTAAACAAGAGCAGAAACGATCAGCACATGACCTAAAAGAAAAATTAGGGCATATGTAGTTGTCCTTTCCTGATTAATATTCAAGGGGAAATTATTTGTTTTCCTGTTTTGTGTTCATCCCATTTCTGCACAGTGAATGATGAGCACACCTGTATTTTGGGTAAAGTCTGAAGCAGAAGCCATTTCGGACACGTCCCGCTCTCCCCTGCCTCTGTAGGGCACTGGCTTTGGAAACAAAAGTTTCCACCAGAGAACTCATCTGGCTGCTTTCATGGTACCTGAGAAGACAACCAACTGGAGGTAAGTCTCTCTACAGCTAACGTCACTTGTGTTTTTCCAGTGGTTCTAGTGGAGGCTGCAATAAACCTTTGTAACATATTAACAATATTGTGACAGAATTTTTGTGCTCATGAGCCCTTACTTATTTTCTTTGGTCTTCCCAGTGTCAATGACAAACACGACATCAGGAATAGTCACACCAGTCTCAGCGATGTTAGTCGACAACACAATCTGAAAGAGAGACAAAGCAGAGAATAGCAGTAGGGATTTTTAGGACTGATAGTATTTTTTCAATCAGAGATAGAAAATGGTGTTGAATCCTATTACATTATCTTGACTGTACTCCACTTTATAATACTGTAACATGTTTGGTAGTACCTTCCTAATCCCAGCAGGGGGCACTGTGAAGGCAGCAGCCTGGTCCTTGGATGATAAAGTTGAGTGAAGAGCAGCGATCTGGTACCTAAAAGTAACAAAGGGGTAGAGTGTATATTAAATTACAGTACATTAGACCATGCAGTACTATGCTAGGTGTGTATGTCACCTGTTTTTGTCCCCAAACCTCTTATCTAAGGACAGCAGGTCATAAAGCTGCTGGATGTGAGCCAGACCCGGGAGGAACACAAGAATGGCTCCATCCACCTCTGCAAACTGTGGGGATTTGTCTAGAACAAACACCAAAGAATACAGAAATAAGACCAAAACATGTGTAAATATGTCCTATGTGCTGTCTGAAACAAGCATGATGATATGTTGTACCTAGGTAGTCAATGAGGTCAACCAGCAAGTCCATATTGATCTTATTAGGGTTCATATACTGCAGCACCTGCCGGGTCCTGCTACTGAAGTGGTCAAGGTCAGGCCCCAGGTCCCAGCCTGAGGAGGAGTCCTTCACTATCACATCCTGGAGCAGACAAAAGCACACATAGTAACACATACACAGTGTCGTGCCCTATAATCAAACATGTTACTTTAAAGGCAGTGACAACCCAGTTTCTCATGAGTAATGTGGTCTTAAATGAAAACCCGCCAGAGTTCAAACTGTTGTGGATATTTCTCTGTTCTTGGTTTGAAAAAGAAAATGTACCCAATTCACGATTTAGCAATATTTGAATCAAAATTTGAAGCGAGTTGTGGGTTGCTGATGTTTCCAGGCCACTATTAATCAAATCTGATCAAACCACACCCACACAGTCCTAAATTAACAGCAAACAACACCAAGGATGACTTTTTTCTCTAAAATGTCAGCTTTTACTGATGCTTACTTATTTATAGATATTACACATTATTAAGATTTGAAATCCAGTTGTACCTGTTCAAATATTAGGCTTGGTTGCTGATATTAGAGCAACAACAACCAAGATATAAATTAATGCCAGGGGATATACACTGTCACACATAAAAGCACTGCAGAGAACCTGGTGTTACCTGCTGCTGTAAAGTCTTGCCACCTTTCTGGGTGACAGAGATGCTGACTTCCTCTTCTTCTTCAAGAATTTTCTGGCTATACTCTGAGTCCATTTCCAGGATGTATCCCGTCTGCTCCACTATGTCTTCTAAGTGAAATACCTGGACACAAAATCACAGGAACCTGCAAACATTTCTTCCTGTTTCCTTTCCCATGTTTCCGGGTTCATTTTTGTTCAGCTTCAGGTTCAATGGCTACAATTCAAAAGTGCATCTGTGACATGATGTAATGCAAAAACCGGTGCAGCTGATAACCATCTCCAAAGCATTTAAAACAGCATAAAATAAAATTAGCAATTAAACTACATATAGTTCAATTATATTCTATACAAATGTAAACACAAAGGGTTCAAGCTCACCTCCACTGGGAACGTCCTGCCAGGAATGGTGATCACTGGACAGCGGTTGAAGTAGTTGGAGAACTTGCCACAGTCGACTGTAGCACTCATGAGGATCAACTGCAGGTCTGATCTCCTCATAACAACGTCTTTCAGTATGGTTAGCAGGAAGTCTGACTGGACACTGCGCTCGTGCACCTGAGAAAAAGAATGTGAGATGCTTTCCAACCCTCTGTTTTGTTAGTCACAAGGCTATTGGCGGCATGTGGCTGTCACACATTCTACAGTTTAAAAAAATATTGACAAAGGCTCAAAAGGGCTTTGAACAGTTTGTGTAACAAACTAACATAATTAAACTGCAATCAGCAATTGAAAAACATTTTCTTCTTCAAACACACTTGTGTTGATCAAATTAAGCCCTTGGGAAGGTTTGACTGTGTCATGTAACAAAAAAAATGGACACTTAATTTAAAAAAAAAAGGACAAATATAGTATCCTGATGTTGGAAAAGACTTTTAATATGGCAACTTGAAGAGTGCAAAGACATTTACAATGTGCAAATATTGTTTAATCAAAAACTGTCAGTACCTCATCTACAATGATGTGTGTCAGGGAGCTGAGGTGTCTGTCATGCTGTAGCTTCCGGAGCAGAACTCCGGTAGTACAGTACAGCAGGCGGGTCCACTCCCCAGACTGATTCTCCATCCGGATCTGGTATCCGCACAGCGACAACTAAAACAATTGCAACACGATCATTAAATCAAGCAAAAATACATCCAATCAGCTTAAGTTTAAGGGCCCCAAGTCAAAATGTATTTTTACCCTTGACCCTGGTCCATTCTCGCAGCCGAGCTCCTGGCTGACTCTGCAGGCCAGGCTCATGGCAGATATCCTTCGGGGCTGAGTAACCACAATGTTGCAGGGCCGTGCCACTTTTCCCCCTGTCAAAAGCTCCTCCAACAGGAACTGAGGAATCTGAGTACTCTTTCCGCTGCCAGTCTCACCGGCCACCACCACCACGGGGTGGCGCTGCAGAGCCTCCAAGACACCATGCCGATGTTGGAAGACAGGAAGCTGCTCCCGCTCTGCCTTAAAGGTAAAGGTACTCATTAAATTAATTGGTTTATTGTAAGCGGAACATAAACTTTTTATTATGGTAAACTGTAGAACAATTATGTGTATCTACCCGCAGTCTACGGGCCAGTGGGGACTTCTTCAGCTTTATTAGGAGCTCCCTGGATGCCTCAAGTGCTCCTGTCCCATCCTTCCTCCCCCCCCTTTTCTCACTCTTGTCCTCTGGTTCTTCTCCAGGTTCCCCAGCATCAAGACCAGCCAGGATCTCCCAGGACTCTTCCGGCTCTTCATCTGCAGCCCAACCCAGCCCCACCTGGCCTTGGGATCCAGACCCCTGCCCTTGGCTCTGGATTTGCTGCTGTTTGAGTCTGGTCAGAAGCCGGGAGATGAACTGGTCTCGAGGTTTGTTGGCAGCAGTGCGGCTCTCTTCCTGTTGCTGCTGCTCGCTGTCCCTCCACTCCAGCCACACATCTCTGTAGGTGGGAGGAAGGAGCTGGTGCACTGACTGAGAGTTGAAGATTAAGAGACAGTGTGAAGAGATTGGGGGCAGTCACAAAAATAAAGCTACAAGTACGCAACTGTAAATTCTAAGAAGCCAAACCAGCATAACTGTGGTATCTGTTGCTAGGTTATAAGTAGTACCTGTCCTTTAACCAGGTTGTAGAGCGCCAGTGTGGCTGCCAGATGTTGAGCCTGCATGCTGTCCTCAGTCAGAATGTTTGGACAAACTTCCAGCACATCATCTGCCCTCTGAACACGCACCCTTATAGGTGCAAAGACATCATGTTACTACTAAATTCAATTATTGCTAGTTATTCCATTGTTTTGTATAAGGGATTCTTAGTATATTGCAAAAGGGACGCACACCTGTACTTCCATCTTTGTGAGGACACTCATTGACATAATGCATTCCCTAGCTCCTTACTCTAACTTTAACCATCAGAACTAAGTGCCTAACCTAAGCCTAATTCTAACCTGAACCCTAAAACCAAGTCTTAATCCTCAAAAAGCTGTTTCAGAATGTGAAGACCAGCAAAAATGTCCTCACTCCGAAGTTAAAAATACTTTTTTGGTCCTCACTATATAGCAAGTACAAGAACACACACACACACACACACACACACACACACACACTTACTTGCATCTCCAGAATCTCCCAGCAGCAACCTTGTGAAAAGCTGGTGGTGCACTCTTGGGCAGGTTCTTTCGAACCCAGTCGATGAGAAACTGTTTGGGAGACTTTCCTGTCCAGCTGCGAGCTGTGTAGTCAAAATTGCGAATGTCCTTTGGCTCATTGTTTTTCACAACTGAGAAGGAAAATGAAATGACAGTATTTTATATATCTGGTAGTGTTACAGTCACTTGATGAATGAATTTTAAGTTGACTCAGAAGATGCAAGATGAACCTTTGTCAGCAGGAGGGTCCTTTTCAGCCTGATCAAATAAGCTGAAGCCAAGTTCTTCTTTGTCTTCATTAAAAGGAACCGTTTTCTTTTCCTTCTGAGGCACATCCGACACTTTTATCGCTGGATTGAACATGGGATGAGACTCCAGTTGCTTCATTTCTAAAAAAGGGAAAACACTAGGTGAAAAAAAAAGGCAAAATAACAAATTATGATAAACTATTATATGTTAAACAATTTCTTTGGGTTGGAGATTTGGTTGTTTATATTCAGTTTTTTGTTTTGTATGGTCTGACTGATGCTTTATAGATATCATGAAACTGTAAAAGTTGCTTCTTGAAAAGTTAGGAGTTAATTAGATAAAAATATTAACCTCTGCAGTAAAGTCTGTAGCCACACACTTACCTTGCTGTATGATGCGTATTCTGTCCTGTGCCATCCTTTGGCCTGCCTTGTCTTCTTTGGTCTTGGCCACAGCTGCCATTTCTTTAGAGTCATAAAGCTGAGCAGTAAGGACCAAATACCTGTCATTCTACATAGCAAGAAATAACACGCTCTTAGAACAGTGACATCATGCCACATACTTAAAGACATTAAATGTAGTATTTAATGTACCACAACAACACAGTTTTCTAATGTCATATAAATGCTATGAAAAGAAATTTTAAGCTGTCACTGATGTGATCAACATTTCTAAATAAAAGTATGGTGAATGTTTTCAACTATGCAAAACGCCAGCTCCAGTGTTCACCATACAGATGTAACCAGGGCCGGAGTGGGACTCATTGTCAGCCCTGGAGTTTTATGACTTAGACCGGCCCACTTTACTGACTATATTAAAATAACGCTTAGTTAAAAGCTAAGTATATAAGTATGTAATAGTACACTGCTCTCTGCAGCCTTGTCATTCTTTATATTTTTCAAATGTTTAATTTCCAAATTAGTGCAAATAAAGCTAAGTGTCGATTGACAGTTAATATTTATTTGAGCAGTTAACGGTAGGCTATTCTTTACAAAACAAAGTTTTTAACTGTTTTTAACAGACGGTATCAATCTATTTTTTTGTAATGAGTTGTGTTCACATAAATATAAGTATAATAAAATACATTTTACAACAAATATTTCTCACAAAAATAACATAAATACTGTAAATAGTGTGCAAAATTGTTTGTACTGTGGATATCAACCCTCAAACACAAATAAAGAATAAAACAATAATGGCACTGTTATCTGCATGAATCTTTTTCTTTCTAATCTGTTTCATCTGCCTAAGTGCATCTTCAACGCAACATGGCCAGCTCTAAAAAATTAATAAGTGCCTGAGTAGTGGACTGGTCTCTGCAATTTTGTTTATCACAGTGTCATTGTCCAAAGACATGAGAATTTCTTTCTCAGTGCACATGAGCACGAATGCCTTAAGGTTTTTCTGGGTTAAAGTGCTCCTGAGCCTGTTATTTTATGAATTTCACAGTTGAGAAGTTTCTCTCACAGGCTACTTGTGTGGTGGACAATATTAATAACAACTTGAAGGCGAGTCCAATCACATGGTAGGCATCAGTTAGAAGATTGTACTGAGAGGATGAGATAAACACAGATGACAGTTTTTACAGGAGGAACAAGTTTTGCTCTCTATTTTTCAGCACATAATGACATTTGGTTGCCAGTCAACAGGCTTTTCACATCTGCATTTTGTATTTTCATAAAGTAAGCATCTGCACAATCTCTGTGTGTCTTACATCTTTCGTGTTCCACTATCCTTTGGTGAACGTGTTTCCAGTCTTTCATGCCCTTTATGAAAGGGCCATCACATACCAAAGGTGCAAATGCCAAACAAACAGAACAGTACAGAGATAGTTTCTTTTTCCACAGTAACTCAACCACTTGCAGTTTGTTCCATTTTTACTATTGAAAACCTTTGGTATAGGAACATTTTGGGGTTGTTGAGGATGATAAGAAAAAAATGTATGTATATCTTTTGGCTGAGGTTGAGCAAAGTAATCATCTTCATCTATCTTGTTCCTAGCTAGTGGTTCTGGGGTCTGCTGCTGGGTTGTTGGCTCTTTTATTTGTCCCTGAGTAGACTCTGCTCTCCCTTTCACACTTCCTTCTGTATCCGTAGCCTTAAGTGTGTCTGTATTTAATCACAATAAAAAGCATTCTGTAACCTTTAACATATTTGACATGGAAAGGACGTTCAAATAAAATTTAATCAAAGTGAATTAAAATATACAAATGGCAAAATATGCAGGCTCATTTCATATGACATTTATCCTATTCCCTTGCAATTGTGGGCTTTTTATATTTGACTAAAACATTAATAGGTCACTTGTAACATTTGGGCCGGGCGTATAGTAACTATATTGTAACTGAGTCATTCTGTGTCATTTCAACAGCAGAGGTCCCCGGCTCAAATTTTAGATTATGCTAATGTTTATTCTGAAAAAGATAGAGTTGTAGTTACGAAAGCCAGTATATAAAATTTTATGGATGAATATTTATTTGATTTGAACTGGAATGATCCTACTAATATGTTTGCTTATTCACACACTGTGGTACAAAAGCTTACCTGTGTCGTCCACAGTGAGGGCATTAGTGTCTTTACGATGCCACTGGTTTTATTGATCAGTGAGGTGTACACCACCATGTTCTTCATTAATAATTCTTCTAATTCTGTTGTGTTGGGCTCATGACTGCATGGTCCTTGGCAACGCTACTGGACCAGCCTCTTCACTTTTAACATTAACGGCAAACTGAACTATAGGGGCTGCTGTCTGCTGAACAGTGACAGTACAAGAAAAGTTTGATGCATAAGCATGGACGTGGTTTGTATACAACGTTGTTTTGCATTAGTATAACGTGAACTTACCAGCCGTCTTATCGTCTTCATTAATTTTCACGAAAAATGTACTCAATTTTGTTCATTTGGCCGCGTCAGCCTCTAGAGCTGTTTTCTTTTTTATTCGAGCCTTTTCAGCACCGCCTTTGCGCTTTCTATCCATTTTTGACTCATAACTTTGTTGCTGTCGCCTGTCGTTGGGCCAAAAGATAATTGCGTCACCGTCATCAACTCAACAGGCTGCGGCCACGTGCTACACTCTGCCAGGGTGCCAGTGATGCTGCCTGCGAGAAAATATTAAATAAAAACTCAGCTTTAATTTTACTTACTGGATCAAATTTTTCCTCTACTTCAGGACTGTGCACATTCTTCTTCCCTCCTTCTTCCTCCTCCTCCTCCTCTTCCTCACTGCTCTGCTCTGCATACCTCAAGATCCAGTCCTTCACGCTTGCAGCCTCATCCTTCTCAGTGGCCTGGCAAATACCATGCACACTTATAAGATACGACATAATGTGACCGTATGCATCTGTCTAGCCAACACACAAACCTTAGTGGTCTTGTTGTGGGTGTTGCTCGGTGCTTTGGGGCTCAGGGCTGAAGGTTTCTTCTGAGCAGGAGGCTGAAACTTGGGCCTGCTCCTCTGACTCTCCTCCTGCATCTGCTGGCTGAAACCTTCTGGCAGCTCATCTGGTATAACAGACAATAAATTAATGACATCAAAGTTTTGACAGTCTTGTAACCTCAATAGCTCTAAGGTGATGAGAACCAAATGACTTGTTCACCATCTTTGAGGTTGAGGCAGAGCCAGTCAAGAGCTGAGTGGAGATCCCCTCCATACAGCACACTGCTCTTCATCGCCTCTTCGATGTGTTCTCTCTTAAAGTTGAACTTCTGCAGTGCTGTGTACAAGTCCTGCAAACACATTAAGAGAGATCTAACCTGAATACAATGTGTCACAATTACAAATGTATATATGTAGCAACTGTGAAAAATCAAAGGGAACATTTTTCTTTACCAGTAATTTCTTGCTGGTAAGTCTGCCTGATATGGTCCCTTTGTCCCCATTCTCAGGCTGGAAGTCATTGATCAGCTTGATGATCTTCTTCTCCAGATCAGCTTGAATTGCAACCTATATTAAATAAAATATGTAGAAACAACAACATTAATTTTAGAAAACAGTCAAGTGCCAGTCAGCTGTGATCATATGTTTTAATAATTCTATAACTACCATTTTATGTTGGAAGCAAAAGGTCTAATACCATACTACATGGCAATCACCAGCAGGCCACAGCAGCTGACTTACTTTGAGAATTGACTTGTCCGAGACCCCACCTGTGTCAACCTGGGCAGTGTTGGAAAGACTGTACGTCTTCGGAGCTGGAGTAAGGACAAAACAGAGCAATGCATGTTAATTGTGAGAGTATGATTAAATCATTGTCTACATGACTGGACACAATATTATTAACACTTGTCAACAGTCACACTGTAACATTATGTGCCTGGTTGTATGTATATAGCGGTACAATGATGTTTCTGAAACTTTGAACCAAATACAGTGGAGCCAAACAGAGTCTGGGGGGTATTTGTCATGCTAGCAAACCACCTTTTGCCTTGTTCTCCCTGGTTGGTCTGGTCATCTTATTGCCGGGTGGCTGTTTCTTCGGTTCCTCCGCCACACCGTTCCCCGTTCCAGTCCTGGCCGTAGCTGCTGCTCCCGAGTGCCGGTTGCGCTGCCGACTTCTTCTTCTTTCCACCCATTAAGTCACCAAACCCGACCTATCTTTGGCTCTTTTATGTGGCTATAAAATACCAAATATATCAGCAAGGTCCTGCAATGGAGAAATTTAAAAAGAATACAAAAGCAACGCTAATATGAATTTCGTCGTTTTCCTGACATTATTGGACCATACGGCTACCGTAGCGGATGTACAATGTTGCATTCACGCATATCGAGAGAATGGGAATAGCAATAAATACACAGACACAATCAGTGATCGTATAGCGCCAATAAAATTAGCTAAATCGATTTTATTAGTGCACAAATTACTATATCGATGGTACATGTGCTGTCATTCTTTAAACACTGTGTTGACATGTCTGTATTTCTTCTAACCAAGTGGGAAATATCTCCGACCTGACTTTACAAGTCGGTGGCTGATGTGGACGGGTTTTGCCACTGTACTCTGATTTGAAAGATACGACGTGAACGTCACATTCAGGACACAACCTCGTGTTGCATTGTGGGAACTTTCTCTCCGATAATCATGGCAGACGCGTTTGGCGAAGGATTATTCAGCGTGTTTGACGATGAACAGCAAAGTAACACAAGCAAAAGTAAATCTGCCCCTGTGGCTCCGGAACTAGGGTAAATTATTGGATGTTCGTATATTAATGGTGTTTAAAATAAGTACGTAAAGGACTGTACCACGAACTGTGTAACGATTAAAAATGGAACTAGATCCAGACAGGTCCTATGTTTTTTCTAGGAAAGCTGCAGGTAAAAATGGCACTGACAAGGATGCTGGTCCACCTGCCCCGACCAAGAGGGAGGCAGACAGTGACGGTGGAGAGGAGGTGGTGTTTGGGAAGAAACCTCGGCATGAGACAGTCACTACAAATGACCTAAAGTAGGGTGAAGTACATTTTATTACTGTGTGGCTCTACATGGTACTAAGGAACCATTATAACGTCTGTCTGTTGATATGCAAATCTTTGTTTACTTAAGTCTTGCAGAATTTATGCCCCAAGTGAAGGTGGAGCAAGTTGAGACCGTGGAAGGATGCTCCCATGAGGTAAACACAGTACATCAAGTGACAATTTCTCAAGTTCAGCTGTTTAAATTTTATAGTTCAAACATATGGTCCTTCCTCAACAGGTCGCTCTTCCTGCTGGTGATGAATATAAACCACTAAGACCTCGAGTGGGGAAAGCAGCCAAGGTATATTCAGGTTTTAACTTGGGTCTTCTGCTGGTGGGATTAATTTAGCTTGACCAAATACACAGTTGACTGCTTTTATAAACATGCATGTGTTTGGTATCATTTACCGTTTTTGTTGTATTTCCTTTATGTTTGGTATGAAGGCTGAAAAAAGTAGTTTACTAGGGGTGTGATGATACACTGAGCTCACAAGATGAGACCATATATGATATTGGGTTCATGAGGAAGAGAATATATTGTAACACAGTTTTTCAGAAATCTTCAGTGACAAAATGTATGACTGGAAAAATAATCTTTTATTTGACTGAAAGTCACAAAATGCAAAACAGTGCAGGTGCATTTTGGATTGTTTTAACTAATCATCCTGTAATGAATATCAATTCAGTTCTACAGTGGACACCCACAGGAAGAAGACTCTCTTGTTTGCTTTGTGAGCATAAGCATTCATTGTCGAATTTGATCCATAGTTAACGCACCATAACAACACGGCATGCATTTTCGTTAGTACTGGATGTTAAACTGTTTTTGTTTATCTATCAATGCAGACACATTTTAATATCGTGAAATCATACGGCACAAGATCTTGTCACACCCCTACAGTTTACCTTTTCAGTCTATATACAGGAACCTTGTGGCAAGTGAAACTGCCCACCCTGGTTGTTTCACAGTGACTTTTAACACCTGTGTTCTAAAATTGTTCATTTTGCAGGAGTACCCATTTATCCTCGACCCATTCCAGCGTGAGGCCATCTTATGTATTGACAACAACCAGTCTGTGCTTGTGTCTGCACATACCTCTGCTGGCAAGACTGTTTGTGCTGAGTGAGTATCCCCGATATGTTATAGAGAGCAGCGCTTCCACAGAAGTGTAATTGTTAAAACACTTAGTTGATGGTTAACCAATTTATTTTACTGCCAGTTTTATTTTACTACCTTTGTCAGATTTAGTGATTTGATTTGATTTGATTTGATTTATTCTTTCAAGCATGTAAAACAGTTGATATGACAACACACATAATTTTACACATAATCCAATATCAATTTGGTTATACCTAGTACATGCTTGAAAGGAGTAGGAAGAAGTCAGACTTATCCAGTCCTACCCCATGACATCATCTTACCATCATTGGTTTGCAAGCAGTAAATGATTCACTTCTACGCACACACATATTATACTAAAAAAAGAATATAACAGTGTTAACATTCTTACATCACACAAGTAATATACTAAAGAATGGTTACAAAATGTACACCACACCCACAATGTTCCATCTAATTAATCATTGAGCCTGTTCTTGCATATATCTTGATTGACACATACCTTTATATTTATGTTTAAACTCGTCAATTCTATTACTATTTTTTATGTCCACACTTAAATTATTCCATAGTTTTACCCCACTTATGGAAATACAAAATCTTTTTTTGGTTGTACGTATAGCATGAATTTTTAAATTTAACTGACCCCTTAAATTGTATCCCCCTTCCCCTTCATTAAATAGTTTTTGAATTCCACCAGGTAATAAATTGTTCCTGGCTTTATACAAAAACACAGCAGTCTTATATCCCACTAAATCAAAAAATTTTAACAATTTAGACTGTATGAAAGCTACATTGGTGTGATCCCTATACCCCATCTTATGCACAATTCTTATCACTCTTTTTTGTAATATATACAATGGTTGAAGTGAGCTTATGTATGTATTTCCCCAGTTTTCAACACCATA